AAGTCCCAGATGCATTTGCAGCAACTCTCCATTATCAAATGTGTATAGAATTCAAAATCATGCATTAGATCTCACTCCACCAAGAGAAGAAGATGCTTTGTTGATCCAAGTTGACGAGAAACACTCAGCTTCATGCACTCATGTTCCTTGACAAATTTCCAGATCATAACTCATACAACTTCTCCCTGAGGCATGGGTTACAAATTATGAACGGCTCCATCAAACTGTTAACTAGCCTATTGAGTCTTCCAACTCAAAAATGGTTAAACGATCGGATAGAATTATGTCAATTCAATTTGACCATTCTCACTTAAAGAAAACAAGTTCCTCAACTTTCCCAGCTATTTCTATGCTACGAGTGTCTGTACAAAGCCCATATTCTCTATTTGCCCAGGTTGGAGCATATGAAGATTTGGAAGGGGCAAATAGGGAGGATCTTATTATGTATTTTGAGCAACAAAGAAATCCCATTTATTATTTCAAAGATCCATTTAATGGACACTGTTTCTTTGATATTTGTTATTGCAAGGACTGTGCTCCAGACATGTTTGAAGAAGAAGATAAGCCCAAAAGAAAGGAAAGATGGATAATTATTCCAGATGTCAAGCATCACCTAATCTAGATGATCATCTTCCAGGGTTCCAGACAATCCACAACAAACTTGATGCATCCTTTCCTAAAATACCTGAATAATGTTAACCTCCCAAAATTCCTCTTTCTCCATCAAAACTATCCCCTTATTACCAAAAATGCCTTTGAAATTCTTGAAAAAGAAATTTTGAATTTGTAAAACATACTACATAATTTTCCTTTTTTTTATTTCTTTTTTTTTTTTTGGTTACCTGGAATATGCCCCAACCCGAGCCCTTTGGACTCGAGCCGAAATACCAAACCCAAGGGCAACGTCGCAGCCCCACGCAACATTTATCCAGACAAGTCACAAGGTGCCCCAGAAAGCAGTTTCAATCTCGAGATATTTATATCCCAACGGATCGCTGTTACCATTGGACCAATCCCTTGGGGGCTATTTCTTGTTTTTGGTTACTAGTTGGGGCGATTGATGCGAATGTTTGAAAACCACATTGTTCACGTATGGGCCGGGCCGGGTTAAGTACATCATTTAATTTGGCGTCAGTGAACAGGTGTATTTGACTATTTTCCCCCATTGTCCTTTTCTCAATTTCAATCCTTCGTGCATTTCACATTCCGGTGAGAAAACAAATAATACAAGGAAGTGAATCACGCACCCTCGGCCCCTTACCCCGGGCCCCAGACAGAAGGAAAAAATAAAAATAAAAAATATTACAATCTTTAAGCAACTCTCCCATTTCAGTCCCAATCCACGGTTATTTCTCCTGCTTCAATCTCAAACCCAGATCGGCTGATTCATCGGACCTATCTCCGATTGGTCAAATTCCCAATTGGATTGAGTACTGACGCTAGTGATCATGGATCAGAGCAGGAGAGCGGTGGAGTCGTACTGGAGGTCGCGGATGATCGACGGCGCTACCTCCGACGAGGATAAGGTCACTCCGGTCTACAAATTGGAGGAGATTTGTGAGCTGCTCCGCTCGTCTCATATCGGCATCGTCAAAGAAGTGTCTGAATTTATCCTCAAACGCCTCCAACACAAATCCCCCGTTGTCAAACAAAAAGTATTGAATTTTAATAATTTCATCAAGCTTTCGTTTCTTCAATTCCTACTTTTTTTTATTTGATGTTTGGGGTAATTGATTTTATTCACATATGGGTTGCAATATTGTGTTGCATGTTAATTCCTCATTTTTTACGGCTCCCACTAGTTTTTGGATCAGTACAAAATTAGATTACGGTTAGTTTTTTCTTCGATATTTGGTGCCTGATGGTGGAGCCATGCTTCTTGTTTGTGAAATATTTGTTTCTGTATGAATAATTAAGTGTTCTCTAAATAGATATGTGAGGTAAGCTTCTATCCTTGCATTAGGAAAAATCAGCTTAAACAAAAGAGGGGGCATTGTTAATTAATTTTGACATGGACAAGCATTGCAACGAAATGCTTCATTGAAATTTACATGATGGGGTTCACTTAGTCTGGTTTCCTCTTTCTGTTTTGAATTTTTTTAGTTAATGTCGGCCAAGTTGTTTGAGTAGTTTCCAGGTGACTTAATTGAATTCAATAGATTGAAGTATTGCATGAAAGACTGAGAAAGCTTTGTAATATAAGGGAAGAGAAAGGGCCTTATCTAACTATGAAGGAAATCAAGCAACGAGTAGGCCAGATGATGTCAAGCCTTTGACTATCATTGTAAGACCGTGTATGATGATAATTTTGCTTGGTTGATTATTTAGCAAGTGTGAACCTTTTACAACAATACGTTTTGAACAATCAGTGAGCCGTGATTTTGGTTTTGGCATCCAGTAGATATGAATTCATTTTCAGAATTTTTTTGTAGCTGCATAAATTTGTAAAAATAGAAAATTGAGTTGATGTATTGCAATTTATGACATTTACGAAGAATCATTTGTTTTTCTAGGCTCTAAGATTGATCAAATATGCTGTGGGAAAGTCGGGTGCAGAATTTAGGAGAGAGATGCAAAGGAATTCTGTGGCTGTGCGACAGTTAATTCACTATAAAGGACAGCCAGATCCTTTAAAAGGTGATGCTCTGAATAAGGCTGTACGTGAGACAGCCCAAGAAGCTTTGTCTGCTCTATTTGCTTCGGAGGATAGTAAACCTTTGCCTACTGAAAGTCTTGGCAGTCGGATTCAAGGATTTGGAAATACAAACTTTGAAATGGCAACAGAAGATAAGAAGTCTTTTCTTACCGAGGTGGTTAATATTGGAAGTAGTACAATAAAGCAGGGATTTAGTAGTTTAACGCAATCCCCATCCCTCAAAAAGAATGACACTGGGACATATAGGAGTCCAAACCTACGGAGATCATTGACTACAGAAACTGATTTTGAAGATCGATATGAAGGAGTTAGATCTCATAGTGAGAGCCAGAATACTTCTAGGCTTTCTAGTAATGCTGGTTCTGGAAATTGGAGTCAGGATGTTAGATCGTCCCAATTAGATACAATTAATGCTGATTCCAGTCCAAGTTATGAGAAAACTCATGAGCATAGGCTATTGGAAACTATTGTGACTTCTGGTGGTGTGCGACTACAACCCACACGAGATGCCATTCAGATTTTCCTTGTGGAGGCATCAAAATTGGATGCTCTGGCTTTATGTCATGCCCTTGAATCAAAGCTGCAATCTCCCTTGTGGCAGGTTGGTCATTTATCCATTCTGTTGATTAGGGGATGCATTTCGATTGATACAAAGGAAGATATTGTCAGTGTAATACTTCAGTGTAATACTTCTATCTTTGTTTTTCTGAATGAATTTCTTGTGCCATCCATCTCTTGGCTTTGTCCTTCAAATTCTGGTGGCTAAAATTTCTAATAAGATAGAGCAAATTGGAATCCTTATGGTATTTTGTTACAGTTCTTCATTGTATGATTTTTTGATAGCTGCAACTTCTATCAGGTTCGCATGAAAGCTGTTTGCGTTCTTGAGGCCATATTGAGAAAAAAAAATGAAGAACATTTTTCTACCATGGCACTTTATTTTAGCGAAAACAGGGATGTGGTGGATAAATGTTCTGAATCTCCTCAGGCTTCACTTAGGGAAAAAGCAAATAAGGTATGCTTTTGTGCAGTATACATCTAGTTTCTTTTTGCTAGTTTGCCAAAGGAGAGTCCCGCACTGCAGAACTTTCTCTTCTTTTTGTTTTTTTTTGCTTTCATCCCTCTGAGATGTAGTTGGCAATGGATGAACTGTAAACATTGTTACTGAAGGGACCGTCTAAGAAACTTCAATTTAAGAGAGTGCAAGTGTTAAAATTGTGACTTGTCAATTCTGCTAATGTTGATCTGTCCTAGATTACATTGCATAGATGTTCTGTTTCTTACTCATAGATGATGATAGTCCTTGTTACAACCTATCAAACTGCAAGTTTTGTTTGCATTTTGTTATTGCTAGAACATGGAGTGCATACTTCAGTCTATGAATATGTGAGTATTTTGGACAGGTCTTGTGCCTTTTGGATGGTGAACAAACTGGTGGACTGGGCCATCAAGAGAAACCATTGAAGGCTGAAGCAACTGCTGTTCAGATGCCAGACTTGATAGACACCGGTGATGCAGATGACCTTTTTGGAACTGATGATTCAACAAAGATCCAAAATGCTTCTAGCACTACAAATATCTCGACTTCTTCTACTCCTTTGATTGATAATTTATTTGGAGAAGGCATGGGTACTGATTTTGGTGTTAGTGAACAGAAAAATGATGATGACCCTTTTGTAGATGTGTCATTCCACAACAGCAGTAATAAGGAACATGAAGCTGATATATTTTCTGGAATGGCTCTTGATAGCTCACGCATTGCTGAAACCCATGTGGCAGTTAATGAGATTAGACCTGAGTTACTTGATATTTTTGGTCCCAACTCTGAAGTTTCCCAAGTCATAGACATTCCTAACAAAGACGTAAATGACATAATGAGCACGTTGTCTATAAGTGGAATTAACTCAGCCAATGTCAAGCAAAATGGAACCTCCTGGGGAGGACAAGATTCCACAGTAAATCCAAGTCATCAGGTTTCTAGTGATGCCTTCAACAGCATTCTTGCTTCCCAAACCACCGGGACAAATTCTGATCCCATGTTTGCTTTGGGTGCTACACCATATAATATGCCACCAGGTTTTGTTATGAATCCATCATTTACTCCTCAGCAAATTAATTATACTGCAATGGCCAGTCTGCTTGCCCAACAGCAGCTTCTGGCATCCATGTCAAACTTCCAGCAGCTTGAAAAATTGCAGCCAAATCCTGGTGCTGGATCTAATGGGAGCTACTCTTCACCGCTCCCAGACATTTTTAATCCTGCTGTCCCAAATCAACCCACTTCAATGATGAGTACTTCAAAGAAAGAGGAGACAAAAGCATTTGACTTTATCTCGGTGAGTTGGGTATTAATCCTCCTTATTAGTACCTTCATATATTTTCAGAGTTTTATGTCTGCAGCATGTTGTGAAGCTTATTATATGAAGTTTGTTGGGCTAGTAAATGTTAATATTCTGATATAATTGTTGTCCACATAATTACTTGTTTGACCCTTGTTTACCTCTAGGTTAAAATAGGCCTCCCAGTGAACATGTTCTCCACTTTGTCTACTCTAGGTAAATTTTGGGGCTGAAATGGAGGAAATGAAACTGTCATAATTTGTAGGTGTTTTCAATACCTTAACTATTACGTTAAATCATATCCACAGAATACACATCATCTCCACCTTCGCAGCCGTAATCAGGAATCTTACACTTAGTGAGAACTACAGGTGCTAAATTTCATACTTCCTTTGTGGGCATCAATTATTTTATGTATGAATTCGGATATGTCAATTATGGTCATTCTTACACTGAAAGCAGCGATCAAAGCTCTAATTTTTTTGGGGGAAACATAAGCATTTTTCAGATCTATGCGTTTGGGAAAGGCAGAAAGTATAAAGGAATTACGATATTTTAGACTGTCTTGACTTCTGACACTATATTTATAGTTAATTTGTCTTCCTCCATTTCTTCCTTTTTCTCCATAGTGGAGGTCAAACATTAAAAGATGCTATTTCCATCTTAACATATTACTAATAAAAGTTCTTATCGCATTAGTTACTGGAAACTAGTTTGATTTAACATTTTGTTCTCACTCTTTCTTTTCCTTCTGATCCTATCTCCAGACAAAGTATTTAAAATCTTTGCTTTCTTTTCCTTCCATATCTGTGCAAACAAGATACGAATTTCCCTTTTGTTTTCCATTAGATAATATCCTTTCCTGTTAATCCAAATGTTGGGTCATATACTTACATTTACGCCAAGTCTATTGGGAGACCTTGTGAAAATAAGAGATCTGCAATAGCAGTAGCATATGACCAATGAACAAAGAAACATACTTTTGGTCATTGCAAATCCTACCCAGCTGTTAGATACAAAAAAACACTAGACAAACATAGGGTGTTTCAATTACGTAATGAAGAATTAAGGTGGCAATAGTAGACTGAACTGTGTTCATGGCAGAGCAAAACATGGAACATAATTCAGTTGGTAGGCACTGGTGTAATGTTTTGATTCTTTATCTGTCTCTGTTCTTCTTCAACAGTCTAAAAAATGACCTGTTTAGACTTTGCTGATTTTAAGGTAAAGCTTTTTTCTCTATGAGAAGATAGGAGGTCTCAGTCTTTTCAGGGTCCCCCAGTGCCTCTCAACAGAAAGCCCTGTTTTTGGGATGTGACATTCACAAACACCTGCACATGCATGCACACACACACACAGGTTGAGATTGAGAAGGTTTCCTATTCTTTGGTATTTAGACGACCGACAGTCCTGTGGGAAATGGCATATAAATTTTGGTCTAAATTTTCAGACACAGTCGTAGACCTATATTTCATCGTATAATTTAGGGTTTCTGACCCAATTCATATGTACATGTTTTAATTTTCTATACCGTACAGACAAGAACACATTGATTGGCCTTTTTTAAGGGATATGTTCATGTTTGCATACAAGTTAATTTATCTTTATATCATGTTATAACACTAAAAGTGAAAAAAATAAAATATACTACATTTATTAATGCTTTTCTTTTGAATAATTATGTAATCTATAGCCTTTAAACATGGTATTGTTTATTATTAAGTTTGTTTTTCTTTGTAATCTTGACATGCTTTTAGCATTTAAATACGAAAAGATTTCAGTGACACCGATGGTCTCTACGGGGTTGGGTATGATCTGCTACTAGCCTAGCGAATTATCATTGGTGGAGAAATGTGTGGTGGAGAATATGCAATGCGAGATTATATGTAGTTTGGGCTTTAACAAGGCTATAAGGTCGGGACCTTTTTTAATCTATTTAAGTTACTTTATCGAATGTGGAATTAGTTTGTGCATCTTGATTCATGTTATAATGTTGCACCATCTTCAACTCTTATCGAGATCCGGAGTTTTTCAAGAAAAGGTCCCATCGTTCAATATCATGATTGGTCAACCATTGGGATTTCTTGGCATTATATTGGCTTATTTTTCAGAGAGACTTGAGTTGGTTGCACACTGTGGTTCTCTTGGGCAGGAATTGGAAATAATTAGCCCCTTATGTTCAAAATTTTAATGGAATTGGCATCATTTTGGATATTTACATTTGTATTCACGTGGCCCACATTTGTTCCTACTGCAGGACCATGTGGCTGCTGCTCGCGATCAAAAAAGAGTAGTTTGAGTTTAGAGTTTTTTCTACTCTTGAAGGGCATTGCTATAAATGAGAGTAGCTAATTTGATAATATAGCAGGAATTGGCAGCTTGAAAGAGAAACTCTCCATGATACTCTTATCTTCGGTACCTCAGTCTCGAACATTTTGGATTCTTGATAAAGATGTGGGGAAAGCATCCCTGTTCTAGTTGAAAGGGCGAGGCCAAAATTGTTTTTGTGGGCGTATAAGCTGTATTATGGTGTATGATGAGATCGTTTATCAGTCTGTGCAGTTGGGTTCAGATTTTGTAATTGTGCAGTTCTGTCTTTTTCCGTTGTACAATATTCATAATTATCTTGTTGAGGTTAAACTTTTTTCCTATGTTATCTTTCCGGTTATCCACGCCATGTTTTGGTGCCTTTATATTTAAACTAGAAACCTCCTGTCATTTGATTTATTCCGTTAATTATTATGAGGTGAGATAGATTCAAGTTGCAAATATGCTTCAAATGGTTCGAGTGTATTCCTCAAAAGTAACATAGGACACAAAAAATACTAGTGCTCTATTTTCGTTGCACAAACTCCAATCTAAGCGATCTCTCTATGGGCATAAAGGCAGATTATCATGCCCTAGCATTCAGAAAGAGTATACCAATGAAAAAAGTTTTTTATAACTGAAACGTAAAAGACACTATTTAAGCTAGTTCAGATATATTAATCTAGCGGAAGTTAGATGAGTAATCTTACTTTGCGTTCTTTTTGGTTCAAAAGGAGAGATTTCAAACTTTAAAAAGGAGTTACAATAGAAATATTAATCATTTAGGAGTGATCAACACTCAAAAATCTAATCATAAAGTAAATATTAATTTAAAAGGGGCAAGAGGGGAGTGGAGAGGAGGAAGGATAAGAGGAAGAGGAAGGAGAGAAGAGGGAGGCGGTGTTGTTGGTGGACGGGGGTGGAGGAGTAGTGGGTGGGCATTGTAGGGGAGAAATAAAATTTTTAAAAAATTCCAACAAAATTTTGAATTTAAAAAACATCTCCAAAATACATTTACAATAAAATTCTTCAACATACATGTAAAATTAATTAAAAACACCAATAAAAATGCTTAATTTATTTGGACCCTTATAGTTTTTACTAGAAAAATAAGCTGCACGAACAGTATATAATGCTTGCAAACAGCCAGAAAACACCATCCATATGCATAACTATTTGCTGAAGCCCCTATCAAACAAGGAGTTTTAGAATTCAGGATATAGAGCAACTCTGCACTTTTCGGATCCAGTAGAAAGATATGCCACAGGATCCTCAACAGAGTATACAAGAGCATGGAACAGCTGAAAATTGCTTCCTGGATATCCGATGCTAGTGATGAATGCAAATTAGTCAATTGTAAAGTTCCTTGAGATACATTGCTGTCAATGCTGTGTGATACCGGATTGCATTGCTATAAAAAATTTTTGTTGAAGTCCTCCTTTGTTCTGATCATCTTCTCCATCAGCATCACTTTTTCTCAAGTAATCCCTTTGATAAGTTCTAATTGTCTATATAATTATATCATTCTGTTTTGATACTTTCGGATTAGTTCTTATTACTCAAAAGTCTAGAACACCTATCACGCATGCATCTAATCTAGCGGATACTAAGCACCACTTATTAGTCCATTTAAGCATGTTTTTTGCAACTATGCCAAAGCATCTGCAGTTCTTGCCCATCTGATTCCTAAGAAAATGTTAGAGATAATGGGGATGAAACAACAGAAACCATAGCCGCTGAGAATTTTTCCTGACAAGATCTGCAACAACATTTTACAATGCAATTGCATAGGAATGAGCCAAGACGATTGCATAATGCAATTCAACACTACAAACCATAATTGTATGACAATAATTAGCAATACTAGTAACAAAGTGAGCCTAAAATGCAGTAAAACTGACCCAAAAAATTAAAAATCTTGTCTGTTGTTTGTGGATTTATTAGTTAATGAACGTCCCCTTATAGGTCATTGCAGATGGATCTTTTTCTCTCATAATAACATGAAAAGAACAGGACTTTGTCAGTAGAGAACTTGACAGATATAGTCTCAATGCTTGCTAAATTATCTTGAAGAAAAACATCAGAAGACAAATCCAAATTTGTCTTTAAGATTTATAGGCTGTATTAATATCAGTAATGACCAAATAAATTACAAATTTCCCCAACCGCACAAAATGGTACTCGGTTCCGTGAGACGGTGTGGTTTCTAAACAAAAATACAAGCATAATGTACAATCACTCATATGCAATTGGACTACCATCTCATATAGGAATACGTTCAAATTCAAAATGAAAATGTAAATTAAAGGTCATTCCACTTGTAGACAAGAGTTTGGGACGAAATTCTAGAGCTGTCACGTTTAACTTAAGACAAGCTATTACCTAAATGATTGTGCACACGCTCATGTGCTTGTGTTAGAGAGAAAGCTTTCATAGCACAGTGAAAAGAGTAATCACAACAAATCTTCATCCCCTGTCCACTTCAAAGTTTTGAGTGTATTCACCATCTCTTCAATCCTAGAATGTGAGAAATCACCAATAGTAAACTTTTCAAGATAACCATCCACATCAATCAGGCTCCAACCTGGCTCCTTCTTCAACCCACTGCCCTTCAACATTGTCCTTGCCTCTGCTACATCAGTCCACATTCCATCTGAAGCATACAAGTTTGAGAGCAAAATATAAGGTGAAGTAGTAATTGGCTGAAGACCTAGAAGCTGTGAAGCCACTCGTTTTCCAGTAACAACATCCCCATGCAGTCGACACGCTGAAAGTAAGCAACCTAAAACAACAGGATCATGCCCAAATTGATACTTCTGTACATACTCTTCAGCTTCACTTAATCTTCCAGCTCTCCCTAATAGATCAATGAGGCATGAAAAATGTTCAATATCAGGGGGGATTGCATAGATCGTATCCATGCAATTAAAGAAGCCTCTGCCCACATCCACGAGCCCAGCATGATTGCAAGCAGACAGAAGTCCGACAAATGTAACAGAATCTGGGGTCATGCCAGCAGCCTTCATGCACTCAAACGTATCTAGAGCTCTTTCTCCAAGTCCATGGCTTGCCAAACCAGCAATAATGCTATTCCATGTCACAAGATTACGACTAGCCATCTGATTAAAGACATTATATGCATATTCAATACAACCGCATTTGGCATACATGTTTAGGAGAGCATTACCAATACCAGTATCCTCATCTGGCCTTTTTCTGATCAGATGCGCATGAATCTGCTTACCAAGCCGCATGGAAGCTAAACCAGCAGATGCAGCAAGGGCAGTTGCATAGCTGAATTCATCAGGTAGAGCAACTCGTGTTTGCATTTCTCGAAAAACACTCAAAGCCTTCACGTGTTCTTCACAGTGAGAAAAAGCAGTAATCATCGTGTTCCACGAAATGATATCTTTTTCTTCAAGTAATCTAAATACCTTTTCAGATGCTTCTATTAAATTAAACTTTGCATACATTGTAATTAAGATATTGCCAGTTGTAGCCATAGAATCAAGCTTGTTCTTTATTATTTGGCAATGCAGTTGCATTCCTCTCCACATATCCCGTGGACTAGAGCAAACACCCAGGACTCCCATGAAAGTAAAGCAGTCAGGAATCAGACCTTTCTGACACATAATCTTATACATTTCAAAACCTTTTTCGGGCTGCTTATTTTCTACCAGCCCAGCAATGACAGCATTATAAGAAACAGAGCTCAGCCAAGATGCACCATCAGAAAATACCAACATGGCATCACTACATTCCCCACATTTCATGTACATCGAGATCAATGAGTTTGATACAAAAGAGATAGATGAACAGCCTAACCTCACTGCTTGAGCATGAATTTGTTGCCCAAGTCTAGCCTCCAGGAGGCAGGCACAAGAACTAAGAGCACTACTAAATATAAACTCATTGGGCCACAATTCTGTTCTCATTTTTCTGAAAAGATCAATTGCCATTAAATGCTTCCCAGCTTGGTCATAACCAGAGATCAAGGCGGACCAGGTAACGAGGTTTCTTTCAGGCATTTCGTCGAACAGTTGGTGGGCAAGAATGAGCTTGCCACACTTAGAGTACATATTAATCGTATGGTTAGAGTTGATAATACATAGCATGCCTGCTTTAATAGCAACTGCATGGAGTGAAATCCCATTGTGGAATGCTTTGGTTTTAGAGCAGTGGTTCAAAAGTGAACCGAGGGTTTCTAGAACCATTCACTGCAGGTTGTCAACTCATTTTATTGCCAAGTGGTTACAGAAAATAACGTTTGTCATGCTTATCATCCCTCTCCTAACTCCTTATCAAACTAATCGTCAATGTGGCTAAGGAACTTTGAGATTGATTTTCTTCGTCCTCCTTTTGGTTGTTATTTGCACGTGAACTGCTTCTGGATGAGAAAGAAAGACAGCCAGAAGTATGAGTGGCGGTGTCGCGGGCCCTTTTTTTTATCGAGTAAAAAACTCAGGGAGCCCTTTAACTATTGTATTGTTACTTTTGACCCATAATTTAAATTGCATTTTTTAAGGATTTTCGGTGACTTTAGACATAACTTTGGCTGGATTTAAACGTCATATTTTGTGAGAACCCAAAAATTTTCACATTTTTTCAGTATTATTTTATTTTTTTGCCTACATTTTATACTTTCCTTGGAAATATTCAAATTTCTATGTATTTTTACAAGCAAGTACAGTTTTAAATTCATTTTCCTAGTAGGAGTTAGTGTACGATAATTTGAAGTGCGTTATAGACGTGGGACCCGCTAGTACGATATAAGTTTGGTGATTAAGTGATTTTTGTGCTAAATGTTATTATTTTACAAGGTGCTAGGAGATAATTAGAGGTTAGCTAGATAAATGAACCATTGGAAGAAAGAAGATAAGCTTGAACCATTAAAAGTGTCAAGTGTCGCGACACGATTGGAAGTTGGACTTGCCTAACTTTCTTTACCTTTACTAAAACCTTAATTTTGACCAATTTTTGTTTCATTCTTTCCCTTCTTGGCCGAGCTTCTTGAAGAGAAAAACCAAGGGAGAAAACTTCATTTGCCAACTTCAATTTGCTTCAATCTTGAGTTCTAACCAAGTAAGTTGCAAAATACACCATCAAAGTTGCTAGATAAGGAGAATTAAAGCCTCTAGTAGAGGGATTTGTGAAAGGAAAACCCAAAGTTATCATCTTTCTTGAGGTGTTAAGGTACTTTGCTTACAAAATTCCTCTTTGTTCATGCTAATGTCAAATTAGTGGTTTGTGGTAGTTAAATATGTTATTGTATGGAAGATTTTATGGTTTGAGGTAACGTTAGATAAATTTCTGTTTTTTTTTTTGGAATTTTTCTGTTTTTATATGATAGTTATTGGTTGGCCATGAATGATGGCTTGATATGGTGTAAAATGAAGCTTTTATATGTTAGTTGTGGTTGTTTGCGAAAAATTTCGATTTTGTGCGGAAATTCCAGTTTTAGGGTTCCAATTTGCCCTGTTCTGCCCGGTTCTGTTTGACTATGTTAGAGGCCGAATCAGGCTTAGGTTAAAACGTGAACCATCTAGGGTATTTTCGTCTTCTTTTATCGAGGCATATAAGTTAGAATTCGGCCGAAACTTGTACCCTTGGAAAAATAAAATTTTCGACTAATGGAAGTACGTTTTCTTTGTCATTTCGACTCAAATGGAGATTTTAAAATTTTACGAGTGAGCATAAGTGTTACAAATATTTTACTTCTGTTCGTTGGTTTAAATGTACTCTTTTCACTACCAAAACTATATTTATAGTTTGTACTAGTATGTATTCGAATTTTCTTTGAATCACTTAAATCTTTGATGGTTGAAGCATAATATGTTCTTTTAGTTATATTAGGGTTCCTTGGTGATTGAGAGTGTTATCCGAAAGAATACTTTAGACGTTATTTTGCGTAAATAGGTGAGTGTTCCTTGTTTGTTATATTTTCATTGACTACGTGGCTTGTTCTTGATGATATGACTTGTTATGAATGAATGATAACATGTTAAATGTTTTCAATGATTGCTTAAAATGAGTTTGCTAAGCAAGTGTGTACTTTATCGCACTCGACCTAAATGAAATCTGAAATTTTCAATGTTTAAGTGATTAAATGCTAGTTGTGCATGAATGTAAGCCTCTTGACTGAACTGGGCCCTGCCCTTCGTTACTGATCGACTCGAACCAGAAGCGGACTCGGTCGGGTGATTTAGTGACCCTGGGTGGACGTTTGGTATACTCGAGTATTACCTTGTTGTCTGGTGGAGCCTGGCCAACGTCCAGGAGGGGGTGAAATGAAATGAATGAACGAATGTCAATGTAAATGAAGGGTTTTACTTATCAAAATGCAATTTCAAACGATTGGAGGAATAAGGAAATGAAAGGAGAATGAATGAATGAATGGCTCCATGTGAGTACGTATCCTTTTAATGAATGTTATTATTGCTTTATATTGTCATGTTTCTTGAATTACTTGCTATCTATGGTTAACGTATTGAACTTATTGTTTGTTTATGTGTTTAAAACGTCACTGAGCTTTTAGCTCATTCCGTTAGTTTTGTTTTCTTTAACAGGGGATGCGAGTAAGGACGAGCGCTCTGTATAGACTAGCTTAGTCTAGTTCTTTTGATTCTTTTGTAAGGGTTCTCACCCTAGCACTTAGCAAGGGTTGGATGTATGAGGAATTGGGAATCTTTGTATATTTGAATTTTGTAATTCCTTTGGAGATAGGAATGTATATAAGTTTATGTTTTCAGTTTGGGATCGGTATTCGCTTGTTTTGTTAATTTTATCTTCAATTCCTTGAGGTGAATGACTGAGTTCCGGCGATAGTTGGGCAGGCGGTCCGCCGAACCCTTTGGTTCGCCTTAGGATAAGGTGGGGCTGTCACATATTTGTCTGTTCCTAATTGAAGTTTCGGAACCAGCATAAAAAATCCTAAAAAGAGCTAACCTTTCAATTTCTTAAACACAGCATTATATTTTTCTTTACAAATATCTGAAAATCGAGTTTTATCCAAAAGATTTTGACTGTGAACCTTTTTAAATAACTGGAAAAAACACTATATGCGAGGCATGGTGCAAAGCTGAAGCTTTTAAATGATTGGAAAAAACGCCACATGCGAGGCATGGTACAAAACTTTTGGCCTTTTTTTAAAAACAAGTTTTTCAAATACAATATTACAGTAATATACAATAATTCAAAGAACATCTCGTCCATACAATATATTGAATATTTCAAAAAAATTTTATAGTAAAAATTTTTTATATATACTGTTACAATAAATTTTTTCAAAAATACCCCCAAAAATAGTTAAACCAAACGGAACCTTGATTTTCAGAGGATTTATAAGGAAAAATCTAATGGTGTGCTTAAATAAATGAATGGTTATCTTTTTTTAGGGTTTTCGATGCTAGTCTCGATGCTTCAGTTATGAATGGTAAAAAATACCCTTTAAATCTGGCCAAATTTATATCTAAAGTCACTGAAAGTCTTTAAAGTGTACAGATTCAATTGTTTAAGGGCCAATCAAAAATAAAATTTAGATGATGGGTTAAAAGTAAATAACGGCAATAGTTTAAGGGCTCCTAAGCTCTTTACCCTTTTTATTTTTTATATTACTTTGGGTTTGCAGTTATTGCTGACACAAAGAAGCAGTAGGTTTGGTATTGTGGTCGTTGGGCTCAGAGATGCGTTGGTATTACCGTTTCGGCAGATCTTTCCAATTTACATTGGACCCTTTATTGTATTTTGGAGTTTGTCTTTTTATTTTTTTAGGGGTATATTGGTAATGTGGGACTTGTCACCTCTGGTTTCATTAACCGGAAATCAGCATTTCATTTGGAAAGATGGACACCCCACCTCCGTAAGTGAGCTTCCGTACATTCTTGCCTGGGTTTCCCCATTCTTTGCTGGGTTTTAAGTGATTGTCATGATGGAAGGGGTTACTTTTGGGTGTTCATTTGTTATTAGCTGACATGTCATGTTGGTGGATATTTTGCTTTTGGTTCTTCTTGTTCGTCTTCTTCGACGTTTGAGGTGAGCTCTTTTCCATTTTTATTAAACTATTTTTCCTTTCCTAGCTTTATATTTGTTTTGATTGTAGTTTTAGCTCTTAAACGAGCTTATGCATGCCTTGCTAAATGTAAATTACTATTTTCATGTACTACGCCTAATTTGTTTCCTGCATTAGTTTATTTTTGCTTATATTGCTGTCTCGACTTTCAAATGCATTCATGGAAAGCTTGCTGAATATACGTTAGTGTAATTCAATTGTTGTTTTTGTTTAGATTTTTTTGTCCATTTGCTATGTTTTTATTGTTCTGTTTGGCCTTCTTCTTCGATTTCACAACTCGAATGTGTTCCCTCTATTGTTCGTGGCAGAAAAATAAACAATTCACTGACCAAATTGGTTTGTTAGATTTTTGGCTCATTTTAGCATTATTTATTTTTTGTTGCAGTTTACTCTTTAAAATTACCTGATTCAGTGCTTGCCGCAGTTGTTGCTGAATTACTTAATTTTTTAGCTCCGTTTTTGTATTTTCAGTACCTTTTTTGTGTTATTGGTGGGTTGTCCTCTCTATGTTATTATCATTTTTTGCTTTACTGTGTGTTACTCTTTATTATTCTGTATAACTTTTCTTGTTTGTTTGCTACTAGTTAGTACACTGTTGACTCTTTTAGCCTTGCTTTGAGTAAATTTTACACTTCCTCGACTTCATTTTTATTATGCAGCTTGTTTTTGGCTCCTTCATCTCATTTGTGGTTTTTCTTTGGTGCGGTTTTTGCTTCAGGTATTTAATCTAGCACATTCCCTTTTTTTAAAAAATGCAGTTCATTCCTATTTTGCCTGTTACAGCATGGTGGTTGAGCTTTTTCCTCTTGATGTTGAACTCCATTTAGTTTACTTACTTTAGTATCTCTATAATCTTAGCTCAAGCCATGCTTGTTGACTGGGCATGTAAGCAGTCTATACTCACACTGCGCGTCGCTCGGCGAACTCCTCCTAGTTATTAACATATAGGCAAAAGAGCCTTCAGCTTCTTGAAGTTTCATCGTCCTAGGACATTGGCGTGCACGTGCTTCTCTTTTTTATTTATTTATTAACATATAGTCAAAAAAAGGCTTCGGCCTCTTCAACTTTCATCGTCCATTGGATGCTGTCTTGCAAGTGCTTCCTTTATTGTGATTGTCCATACACGCTTCTTCAGTAAAATTGCTAGTTTGCTAGCCTACTTTTTTTTTTTTTTAAACATTTTGGTAAACCAAACAGCGTCATATTCCTCTTTCTTTCTGGTTTTCAGACGTAGCAGCATCATGGAACTCTGGAAGACCAGTTCTATTGCTTTTGTCCTCTAGACAAAACTCCACCTTCATGAGACCCGAAGATCTCTCCTCAATTTTTGGTGTTTGATTGTACCTGCAAGGGGTTGCAATCGCAATTGGAGGGTCCAGAGTTTTTTCTTTTGAGAAGTTGTTGTTTAGAATTTGATGGATGATGGGTTCAAGACAGAAAAGGAGCAGGTAATCTTCTTCCCCTTCCACTCTCGGTTTCTCTCATTTCTCCCTCCTATTCTTCTTCATCTCCCTCCCTCCCTCCCTCCCTCGAGTAATTAGGGCCAATTTTTTCTGTTTTTCTCTCATTTTTCCTGATATTTCCTTTTTTCCCTCCTTTGTGTCCTTTTCTGAAAGGACAACAAAAGCAAAGGTCAATATTTCATCTTCACTATCTAATGTGAATTTCTGGAATGCATATATGGTATTTTTCTTCCCTTTTTTCCCATCATTAATGTCTCTGTTTCATTTCCATTATATCAGTGATTTTGTTTTTTAAATTTTTTGGATCTCTCGATCTCTCTGACTAGAAGACAAACTTTTAATATGGTTTGATATGATGAATAATTGATGATTAGTTAGCTTTTAGATATTTATTTACTTTTTCTTTGGCTTTTTCGTTCTTGCCTTTCTTGGATTTCTTCTGCAACAGGAAGGAAAAATGGCTATCTATGAAAGACAACTGGTGAGGGAAAATGTAAGTTTTGTTTTATCATTCTGAGGGTTTTTTTTTTTTTTTTTTTAAATTGCTATCTTCAGACCTCAAATGATGGGATGTTTTTCTTGTTAGTCATTTTCTTTTGGCCTTTGCTCTTTTCAAACCTCATTTGAGTTTTCCTTTTAATCATTTTTTGGGTGTCTTTCATGCAAGTATTCTATTGATCTCTTGCTGAGAAAAAGCAATCAATATGGTAACTAGAGAGATTCGTTTGTTTAAAACAGATTTCTTCATCTTTGTAAATAAATTTTGTTTAAAAGCGATCCATATTTTTGGTATTTCATTTGAAGATCGAGGGAGATTATGTTCCGTACCAGCCAGTGTTTTCTTCATCTTTTTAGAAAGGTACTCCCGTCCATCTCTCTCATGCTCTGTCCATTTTCATTCCTTAATTGATGATTGTCCCAGTCAGCTGAACGATTTTTCGGGATTTTTTGAAATTATTCTTTTTTGATATTTTTTGGTGTTATATGTTGCTACCGTATGATTATAGGAAATGTCTTGTGGTGTATTGGAAAGGATTGACAATAATATCATTTTTTTTCTAAATTAAAAAAAAGAATTAAACTTCTCTCTGTTGAAATGGTGTTACTCATATGTAGTCTATGGGGTATGAAATCTGTTTAGGATTTCTGTCTTTATTAATTGATGGTGTTCATGTTGCCGTTGAATGAGGTCGTATCTGTCAAAAAATTTAGCAACTTTATATTTCCTATATAATTCAATCATCAATGTTTTTCATTTGTTACCAAGATTATGATTGGCGTAGCTGAACAAGTGTACTCAGTATTCCTATTAAGTTTCTTCTTCTTCTAGGTGAAACAGATTTTAATATTTCAAGAAGATAAAGCTCTCCATTCTTGTGATTTAATAATAATTAACTCTTGCCTTCTGGACTGCTTACAGATTTATGTCACTAGATTTATTCCCTATATTGGAAGGCAATAAATTTTTTGCTTCTTTCATGGATGTATGCTTACTATTGTTTTAAGTGGTGGTATTTTAATCTCTATTTGTTATGTCCTGTCTACTGTAATTCAAATGAAAGATCATATTCTTAATTTTATGTTTCTCAGATACAATTGGAATCTTTCAGGTTTTGAGTCTGGACTAGAGGTTGGAGTTTTTCGTATCAAACTGGGCTTTTTTTTGTTTTTGTTGGTTTTGATAAATTTTTTTTATTTTATTTTTCCCCATACTTTTTTTTGCACCTGGAGCTGGATGCTCTGATGCTTTTGCTCTGCAAGTTGGAGCAAGTTGGTTTTTGCTCCCTGCTGTTTATTTTAGAAACACGCAGCTATCATTCATTCTCTTGTCCTCTATACAAAGTGTTTATTATACTTACGTCTGGTTAAATTTAGCCTTCTAGGAGAAGTCATTGCTTGATCATGTTGTATTTAGTAGTAAGCCATTAGGCTATAGTGCTTTTGAGGTTAGAAATACTCTAATCTATTGGTGTTTGACCTATGCTCTTTTTGTCTGTAGCCCATCTGCCAAGGACTGCAAACTTTGTCTGAGGCATGTTTGTGCTATCTTTTACATCTCATATTCCGTATAAAAGTTATTAATTTTTGGCTTCCAGGTTTTTTATCCCTATATCGTGTCCTTCATTTCCCTTTTGCTGTTCTTTTTTCTGTTTTAATGCCTTTGCTCAGATTCTCCTACTCTTTTTGTAAATTTTTCACTTAATTTGTGTGCTTTCTACGCCTACTTCAAATTTAATTGCCTACACTTTCCCAATGTTTTAGTTATAATTACTAGATATTGATTACAAATGCTACAAATAAATTAGATGGTGATTGGTTACTGGTAATTGCCTATTGACCTTTTAATTTGGACCTTGCAAAATGAGACTAACATCTGCTACTTCGGCTGAAACATGTATTCGAAAGAGAAAATAAAAAACCTATATTACTAAAAACATATTTAGGCCACATGGAAATTGGAGTTTGCCAGTTGAAATATGTTTTTTTTTTTCTGTTTTATTTTGTTATCTTCCATTACTCTTTGTCTTCTTATAGTATGCTTTTATATTTTATCCTATGGTTTCAGTAAAGTGCAGCCTGGTTATAACGCACCCATGTACAAAAAATTAATTCTTTGTCATGTTGTGTTTATTAGAATGCAATTTTTTTTTTTTCCGAAACAATAATTGGTTGTATTACTTGACAAAAGATTTACAAGTACGAGCAAAGGCTCGAATGAACTTCACAAGCGGCTTTACTTGCCACTAAGGAAACCAATGTTCCTCATCTAAAATAATGCCCAAGGCATAGTTACTAAGCTTAGTGCTTAGTTGATTGTTATCACTATGAACTAGACAAAAGGAGCACTTATGAAACAAATCTCTGAGTTGTAAAATATCGTCCACAACAGTAGCTAATCTGATATCGCTTACGCCTGCTGTTCGAACCTGATTGAGGAGCTGTCGGTTTGGCACTTGGAATTGCACATCCCTGAATTGCAAAGTCGCAGCTTTACACATTGCTAGCTTCAGTGCAGTTGCTTCGTCTAGCAGTCCTGAACCTGAACTGCTTTCTCGTAGTGTCCAACCTCTTTTTGCACCTTGATTTCCTTCCTGCAAAGTAATCCCAATACCGAAGCAAGACTTTGTCATATCTCTAGTTATTCCTATCCTCAATATCAAGCACCCGTGTTCCGGATTTAGCTGCTGAATCTGTTGATGTAGAGCTTCTGTTTCATCTGTGCTCATACTAGTTCCATTCCTATCTATTTCCCCAAGTTCTAACCATTCCTGGTGCGCCTTCTGAATTGTCTTCCAGGGATGACTTTTCTTACCATTGAACTCCACCTCATTTCTATCTTTCCATATCTGCCAGAGAATATGAACTGATAGAGCAATATGTTGCCATCCTTCTGGTCTGGTTCTTGCATCTGAAATTTCGATCCACCATCTTCTGAAACAGCCTTGGTGTTCCATCATACCTTCCCATTGGATGGGGGCTAGCTTCCATGTCTGTTTAACTTCGCTGCAATTCAAAAGGGTTTGTTCAATAGTTTCCCTGTCTTCTCCACATCTGTTGCAAGTGGGATCACCTGCTTTAATTCTACGATATATGATGTCTCGCACTGGCAGTGCATTGTTGAGGCATTTCCATAAGAAAACCTTCTGTTTCTGCTTCACCTTCAGTTTCCATAAGTCCTTCCATAACCTTTGGGATTGATTTTCCAGACTTGTAGAACCCTCCAGCTGATTCCTTTGCTGCAAGGTATCTTTGTTCATAATCAGTAGCTTGTACCCTGAGCTGACTGAATAATGGCCACCAGCCCCTTTTATCCAAAAATTTGTGTCCTCCTTTCCTGCTAAACTAACAGGGATTGTCATATTAGAATGCCATTTGGCTGTAGTTTTTTTAGAAAATAGAAGTGTTCTTTTTGGTTGGTGCTTTATACATGCTATTCTCCCCCTCAGTCGTCTTTTTTCTTTTTTCCATGGACTTTGAATCCTGTATAAGCTATGTTCCTAGTATTTACCTCCTAGCTTTGCAACATTAGTCCTTTACATGTTATGACCTCAAGCTCTTAGACTATGGGCAAGGTTTTTTTTTTTTTTTTACTTTAAAGTATTTTCCTTCCTAATATCTCTTTTGCTCTTTCATCACCAGCCTTAACTATCTAATAAGGCTGGAAAAAATAACATTGCAACATCTTTTATACCATAAGTAAATCATCTTTACTTACCGGTTGTATATTACGTAGTAGCTATTTACTTGGTGGTAAAAATGTATGGAGGGTATAGTTTTTTCCTTGGTTAGAATTATTCTCGTGTACTGATGTTTTACCTGTGCTGATTTTTCTCATAGTTCTCTATTTACCCGACAGTGCTAACTCTGTGCAAGGTATGTTAGTGCTTTCCTTTACCTTCTATCTGTATTCTGATAGTGAATCATTTGCTTGTATTCTCTTTGTTATGGCTGAATTTTTGTGCCTTGTAATTCCCTTTTTCTGATTTGTTCATAATCTTTGCTCGAGCCCTGCTGCTTATTCTATAAATTTGTTCTTTGTTAATTAGTGTTTGTTCTTCAACTTCTCAATATATAACTGCCTATGTTCTCTCTTTGTTTTGGTCATACGTAGCAGTTACTGATGGTTAACATTAGAGATAAACTGAATAATAACTAGTAATTGGCTATTAGCTATGAGTTTTGGCCTTTTCGTTGTTCCTTTATTTATTTTTTACTTAGATTCATCTCTAGCAGTTTTGTTGACTGCTTAGAGTTGCATGATTTGCCTGCTGCTTCCCCGTATCAAGTCAATATATGCTTCCCGTCATTTACTTTTAGGACAATTAAGTTACTATCCATTTTCTACTTCTTATCAATTTTTGCTGTATTTTGGTGTTTCAATTCAATATATTCATTTTTTGTTGCAACTTGGTTTTTTAAGAAAAGTCAATTTTTGTCATGGTGTGTTTAGTAAATAGCTATTTTGCTATAGTATTTGTTTAGATTTGAACTATCCTTGTATATTGGTTTTTGACATGTGGTGTTTCTCCTTTGTCAACTTTCTCTTTGTTGCAGGGCTTGCAAATCCTATTCGAGGTGTGGTTGTTATCTCTTCTTCACCTAATATAGCAATCACAAGTTTCCTTTTTTCATTGCTGCTTGGTATTCCTTCCTTGTGCCTTTTACTTTCTTTTAGCCAGTTTGTTTTCTTAGCCTTGGCCTCAATTTTCTGAATTTATTTGTATATTCTTACTGCCTGATAATTGGTGTATACTCTAAAGCCATTTATGTTTTGGCTATGTTTTGCTGACTAATGTTCCAGAAAATTTGGGTGGCTGTTGGTTATTGGCTATTGACCTCTAATTGTAGCCTGTTTTTAATTACTTTGATTTAAACTGCTTCCTGTGATGGTTGTGTGGCAGCTTTTTTTCTACACTTACATGCAATGATATGGCATCTCTAACTCTCATCCAGAACACATCACATATACACACTACTTGTGTTTATATAAGCACCTCAGAAGTCAGAAGAACACTTGGCTTCCCAAAGCTAAAAGCAAACAAAATGCTACTGTACGCGCGTGAATCTCAAATACAAACTTCTGGTACCGTGTCACTTTGCTACACAAATTTTGCAGAGCAAATCCTACTCGACAAAATTATTCACGTGAAATGCACACAAGTGTTTGCTTTCGAACTTATGTGCCTGCGTAAGCTAATCAAGGACCAATTTCCACTGTTTCATTTATTTGGAAAAAAGATATGCATGAATAACATATAATTTAAGCTCCTGTCTTAATGCTTATTTTTAGATCACCTCAAATTTTTTGCCTCAATTTAGAATTTAATTTGATTGGGATTGTGGTTCTTGATACTTTTACCAATTGTTATGTTATAGAAGCAAAAAAATAAGAGATATAAAAAAAATGAAGTTATCTTTAGTTTTACATATTCTTAATAATTCTCTACCATTTATTCTGAATTCTCTTGTAAATAGTTTTCTTTCTTTTATGCTTTAAATCATATATACTTTACGCTTATAATAATTAGCCATACTAAACTAACTTCCATCATATATAACAAATAATATAAAACAAGTACAGATTACAATGGTAATATAAGAAATCAAATTTATATTAAAAAACATGCAAAGATTAATCCAAAACTTTTTGTCTTTTTTAGATTTAGATTCTTATTTTTCCACCCAACTAAATCCTCATTGTGACAACCCCACCTCCCCCTAAGGCGAATCAAATGGTTCGGCAGACCGCCTACTCAACTCTCGCCGAGACTCACTACAAACCTTAAATGAAAAACAGACTAATTCCAATGATTACATCTAAATATGCCAAAATAATAACACGTTTACAATATTTCATTGCACAAGTACATTCAAGGATACAAATCTCAAGTCAACTACATCGAGTTTCAAATCTTACAATTTCCCAAAGATCAGTTAAAAAATATCAAACTATACAAAAGACTAGCCTTCACTAGTATTTTCTAATCACTTCCTTCACGTCACTCTCCTGTTAAGGAATAACAAATGGAATGGGATGAGCTAACGCTCAGTGAGGCCAAGAAAAAGCAGGCAAACAAATAAGTACAACTAGCATTAAAGTTTATACAAAAAGACAGCCATGATATTCATATAACTCACAAAGGAAAACAAAACACGCACAGTGTGGCGATACTACTCGAGTATGTTTTCCATGGATCACCAAGCTTTTCGACCAAACCCTTGCCGGCTCGAATTACACGGTTGGCCAATGGGTTGGGGTGCTCTCCAGAAGTATAATTGGTCGATGAGACATCGCTCTAATCGATTTAAAATTATTTATAGTTTTGAGTTAACATGAGAGGTACCTCCCACCCGAATTGGTGTGGCACATACTATCGCTTAGAGAACTAGATCGATGAAACATCGTTCCAATCGACTTAAAATTGTTTATAGTTCTGAGTCGACATGAGAGGTACCTCTCATCCAAATTGGTGTAGTAGCTTAGAGAACTGGGTCGATGAGACATCGCTCCTATCGACTTAAAATTGTTTATAGTTCTGAATCGACATGAGAGGTACCTCCCACTCGAATTGGTGTGGTACATGCTATCGTTTAGAGAATCGATTATAGCACTAAAACGATATGAGAGGCATCTCCTACCCGAACAGGGTGTGGCACATGCATCCGCTCAGAGCTCACAAGTTAAACATATTCATGTACAAATACCAATCATATGTATTCATGTAATAAGTATCACGTAATTACAAGAGAGAGAGGACGAGGGCGATAAAATACACTCTCGCCTCGGCAAGTTTACGTATCATGTATAACATTTGTACAATTAATATTTCAATCACATAAGCATTTAACATGCACTTGACACTCACCACTAGCCAAGGGCAAAACAAGAGTGGAGCGAGAAGCCAAAAGAACTCTTCGAAGTTCTCGTGAACACCTAAGACATATACAATTATAGTTACCTAGGTGCTTGACCAAGGTTAAAAGAAAAAAACATTTTCTCACTACTCACTCTCAAGGTCACAAGTTCGAGCTAAATTAATGAAGGTTTTCTAGCTAAATCGTTAAAATAATGCTCAAGAAAGCTCGAAGGTGGTTTTTGATTCAAGTCGTGGTAAGTAATCTCATATCCAAGAGAAAGTACCATTTTCACTTTCAGTATGAAAATTGAAGAAAAGGGTAAATGATTTTCATTTTCCAAAACTTTAAGTCTCATGTCCAAACCCAAAAAAAACAAGGAGTGTGCACATTATCCAAACTAATGGAGTTAAAACTCATTTAAAACTCCACTCATTTTCATAGAAAAATATCAAAGTTAAGGTTCAACTTTGAAACTAGTGAAATTCACCAAGAATTACTCTAGTCGAAAAGCTCCCTTTTTTTTTGGTTTCAAACTCATGGAAATTGAGGCCATAAGAATAGGGTTGAAGTCTATAATTCCAGTATGAAGAGAAGTGTTATAAACAAGCGAAGTTATAGAGTCAAGAAGAATCACAAAAAGGAGATTAATCCTTTGGAAACTAAGATTCGAAATGGAGTTTAAATTTCAAAGAGACCTCATATTAAACTGTGAAACTATACTTAAAACAGTCCAACAATTGCAAAGGAAGGTGGAAAATTCTTAAAAGAGCAATTTGGTTGAAAACAGAAAATTTCTAGTTTAGAGTGACACTACTTGGAAATATCGTATCTAGAGTTCCTTAAGTCCAAAATTGAAAGCTTTATACCGTTGGAAACTGGGTTCAAAGTACTAAAAATTCCTAGAAGACACTTTTCCAAGATTCTAAACGAAAAGCATTCATTTTTCAGCCCAAATTCGCTGATTTAAACAAGCAAGACCGAACCAGTCTTGGTATTCAGCGATATTTGAAAATTCGGTAAAATTCATAGAAAGTGAATCAGTCTTTAAAATTCATAACACAATAATAGTTTCAAACAAAGTTTCAAACACAATAAATGGAACTAAATTTGGAGTTTTGAGCATCAAGATATAACAGTTCAAAGTCAACTAAATCTTGCAAACTGATCAGTGAATTTCCAGATTTGAAGAGCAATCTTTGGGGCATTATTTGGATACCGAAATGGCATTGAAATTACACCAAATTTGGTACACTTAAACTTGCATATGGAGACTACCTATCTATCAAATTACAGGCAAAAAATCACGTGGGAAGGCAGTTAACAAAATGACTAAAATTCATGAAAATTTCAAAGAAAATCTGCCAACCCACTCTTTTTTTCTTTCCAAAGGCTTTTGTCCAATGAAATCAATCCCAATTCACTTCATTTTTAAAACCAAGGTTCCAGAAACATTTGATAAGCATTTTATGGTTAAATGACACTAAAATTTTCGAAATACCTCCCAAAACAGGTTAGACCATTCAGCCAACAAGGAAGGAAAAACTTCCAGTTACCCAGCTTTGTAGCATTTTCGAAATCAAGTCATATATAACCCTATACAAACTCAAATTGAGAATGGTTCACGGCGTTTGAAACTAGGTTCAAAATGCTACAATTTATCAGAAAGAGTAGTTTCCAAAATCAGTTCACAAGTGAGAGAAAATCAAGCCACAAGATGCAGCTTCTCCATTCCTCTCGGACAGACAGTCACAACAGGACAGTCAACTTTGCAGGATCACTAGGGTTCACTCAGTTCGAAATAGCAAGTGATTTTTATACTGTTAGAAAGTTATGAATGTCAAGTTTCAAATGCTGCTAACGGCACTCAATTTCGAATTTTGTACAGAGAGTTATGTTCAAACAAAGAGCACTATCCGAGAACCCCAGCTATACGTTTTCCAGATTTGATTCTTGCCAAAGCTCAAGTTTTATGCAACCAAATGAACAATTTTTGGAAAGCACTTTGTACCCACAATATGCAACATATATCCATCAATTTCATAGCCAACCAAGCATCAAAATTTCGAAATAAAAAGTGAACAACATGACCAGAATTTTCGGCCATCACACTAACCAAATTTTTCCAACTTTATCTCCATTTCCTAACCGTAATCCTTTCATTCATCACACAAATAACATTAACCAAGCAACATATCCTCAAGGAAGCTACCTACAAGCCTTTTCAAGACCACTAGCCTAGAGATTAAAGCAAAGTAAATGGTTTTCTCAAGTCCTCTAACCTATTTTGTTGCTTAGGGTTGTAAACCCATGAAAATTAACCTTCATTCTTGAAGAAATTGGAAAGATCAAAGGAGATGAAAGTTACCTCTTCAAACCCTAGATGAAACTAGAATTTTTCCACCAAAAACTCTCCAAGAAAGTCCACAAGATACTTCTTGCTCCAAGATAAAACTAATCTCCAAAGTGTTTGGAAGTTGGATGGTGAATTGCAAGTGAAATGGAACCAAAAGAGTTGAGTTTTCTTCCTCCCCTTTTTCTTCTTGTTTCAGCCGACCTAAGAGAGGAGAGAGATGAGTGTTTGTTGTGTGAATCTTGTCTAGGAAGATTGGAGGGAAAAAGAAATAAAAAGGGTTGCCAAAGTCAACTTTGAATAGTTGTCGAATAGTGTTTCGTACTATCACTTTTCTCTCTTGTTTGTTGCATTAGTGCACTAATTCTCCAATGTAATTCCTTTAACACTGTAATTACTCACTCTTACGAGTCTAGTATTAATTCTCAAATCCCCACTTAGTCGTTCCGACGCGAAATATCCGAACTTTCGACTCGCGTGCGGTAAAAGCTTAATTTGGACTCACTCACCTCTAATCTTTCAATTAACTTTTCTTAGTCTACTATTGATCATTCTTAATTCTCCAAGATTATTGCACACCCAGACCGAATTTACCTCAAAAAACGTGTGTTCACTATTTCTCGCTAAACGAGCTATAGAAAAATTAAATTTGCGAACAGAACATTTTAAAAATATAAAT